CCTGACAGGTCCTTGCCCCATCCCATTTCTCTTCCTTCCCAGTCCAACTTTGGCCAACTTGATGTGCCATCCCTCCGTGCCACTTCTCCGTACCCCTACCATTTGGGCACCTGCGGAACCATTTTTCTCCTCTCTTCCAGGACCTGTCGTGTGGCCTCCCTCCCTCCTACCCCAGTTGCCACCTCACCCCAGCCTGCAACTCACCCCCACCCTGTCGCCCAGGAATCCTCCCATTTCCCCACCAACTCTCTCCTGGCAGTACAGGGGGGGGGGGGGGGCGGGGGGGGGGGCGCAGGAGGAAAGGCTTCCCCCAGCCTAAACCCTCACCAGTATGAGCACATCTCGGGAACGCCATGCCCTTGAGCCCCCCACGCCCAGCTGATGCCCCCGGCCCCAGCCCCCTGCCTGCCCTCTCTGCTCCGCTCACCCTCTCCCCTGTCCTGCCCAGTCCACCGCCTGCTCTCAGCTCGGGCTCCCTGCCACCCTCTCATTCTCTCACCTCAGCAAATTCCTAGAGAAATGGCAGATGAGGCTGGGGCACTGGCTGGGCAGGGGGTTGGCAGAGCACCAGGAAATGGAAGACTTGGGAAAGATGTTGGGTGTCAGGAGACAGAGAACAGGGGGAAGTTTAGGGCTGCAGATACGGGGAGGGGCATGAATGACAGGTGAAGTACTGGAGGTGGGAGATGACAGGTCTGGAGGCCGCAGAGGGGCAGCAATAAGTCTGCAGAGATTTGGGGGCTGGAGGAAATGGACATGTCCATCTCAGGCAGAGAGGAAGGCTGACAGCAGAGGGTGGCCAGTACGGCCCATAAAGGCTGCTACTGACCCCATTCCCCCATGTCCTGGCTGCCCCAGTCTGGGGCTGATAAGGAGAAATGTCTAGGCAGAAGGATACCTGATACCAATTTTAAACAGAAGACAGAGTCCTCATCACCCAGCCATGAATTACCCCTGAGTTTAGCCAAGTCACGGGGATGGGTGAGATGGGTGTGCAGGTGCCCCTGGGTCCTGTTTTTGCCACTGGGGCAAAAGCACAGATGCCAGCAGCCCCATCAGCTGCCAGGCCCGCAGGTGAGTGGAGTTCTGGACCCCACGTGTAGCTCTAGAGATGCCCTTGGCTCCCCGTGGCTCTCTTGTGGGTGTCCCCATGTGTGTCCGTGTGTCTTGGGGTGTGTGTGGGTTTTTTCCTGGCTTCGAGGGAGGATGAAATCAACATCTTGGACAGAGCTGGGCTTAGCTTCCTTCCTCTGCCTTGGCCTGAATCCCCCAGAGCCTGAGGTTCTTGGGTGGAAGGGGGTTGGGGGGGGGCAAGAACTGCAGGGGAAGGCGAGGGGGGAGAGAAGCCGTGCAAACCACGGTCTTCTCTGATTCCAGGAGTTCTGCCCTGTGACCACGTGTTTCCCCATGCTCCATACTTTGCCTTTATCATTCAGAATGTCTGGCCACCATACATGAACTTGGTTCTGAGTGGCCAGAATGCCAGAAGAGGGGTAAGATCTAAAAGAATGTCCTAGGGGGCTTCTAGTCCACTTCTAGGTACAGATGGGGCTTCAGGGCAGTGCACTGGCGTCCATTTCCAAGCTTCAAGATCTTCGAGGAAGCCACTGGAAACAGTGGCAGACAATTCCAGGTTCGAAGACAACTGGCCTAAAATCTGATTGACACCCTGCGTTTCAGGCTCATCTTAATAGGTTTGCTTTCATCAGAAAGGAACCAGATTGATTGTACCATGCTGGTGCCTAATAACTGATTATCCTACTCAACTGGGAAAGGATGGGGTGGAGAAGAACCAGGAAGGGAACCCCTGTGTGAGTGAGGTCAGAGCCTTCATTGCAGTGACCCAGGGATGGACGTGAAGGCCTGCTGTGAAGGCCACATGCCCGGGCTGCTGGCAGAACCTTCCCCTCAGGTGTCTGCAGCTCTGGGCCTGTCCTTGAATGAACCTCCGAGTGTCTGTCCTGACCTCAGGAGGATAAAGGATGAATGATCTAGCAAGGAAGGGAAGAAAAAGACAGAGACGGGGAGGAAGACAAAGCCAAATAAGGGCAATTCAGGGCAGGAGCTGAAGTCTAGAGGGGACCAAGAGCGGCCAGGGGCTGGGATCCAAGGCATAGCCCCAGAGAGGGGAAGATAGAAAACAGTTGCATGAGCTTCCGTTGACAAAGCACTTTCCAATACAGACGGCATCTTCTTTGTCCCACTTTGTGGCAGAGGAAACAGGCTTGCTTGATGAGGGGCTCTGCTGGTGGGGATGAAGGTGGGCCTCCCCGCAAGTTTTCTGATTCCAAAACCTATATTCTCTCCCCACTGCCAAGAACAGCTCTAGGAAAATGGAAGAGTCGGGGTCGAAACCAATGCAGGGCAGGGGCTTCCGGGAGGACTTGAGAAGGGTGGACAGTCTGTACTTTTGAAACTACTCTCTGCATCCAGTTATTTTGTAGCTTCAGTAGAAGAACTTGCCAAGTAGAAGACAGTGGGGGTAGGGGGAGAAGTCAACATTCCATTCCTGAAAACTAGGGGTGCAAGGCTGTGAGGAAGGGAACGCAGACAGGGTCTGAGAGATGGGTGAGACTGAGAGACAAGGGCTGGCAGGGGGCAGAGAGCCACAGAAAGAAGGGCTGGGACCCTTAAAACTTCCTTCGCCCGAGACATGGGTGTGGGAAGACGGGTGGAGGGAGGACATTTCTATCTCGTGACAAAAGAAAGTCACACAATTGTTTTGTTCTCTGCTCTGGGGCTCTGGGGCGGGTGGGCGCTGTATTTACCAGAGGGACTGAGGTCGCTGTGGCAACCACACATCTGGGCCCCGGAATCCAGATGTGCTGTCTCCAGAAGCCATAGCAGAACGATGAGGCAAACCCTGGGCTCCCCGGCCCCCGGCCCCCACAGCTGGGAAGAGGACAGAGGATCTGAGCGGGGAAGTGAAGCAAGAAGGGGGAAAGGAGAGGGCTGAGCGGGGGAGGAGAGAGGAAGTCATGGAAGGGACAAGGAATGTGGACAAAGTAGAAAGGCAGGAGGCAAGCGCAGGGTCAGCAGAGGATGAGACCAAGGACAAAGGAAGCATCCAAGGGGTGAGGACCAAAGGGATGCCCAAAGCAGAAAGGTCCCGAAGAGAAGGCAGCAACCTGTGGCGAGACAGCAGGCAGGAAAGATGCCTAGAGAAAATAGGAGGGGGCGAGGGCCTGGGAGATGCTAACTGGAAGGAAGGTGGCAGGACAGAATGAGATGGGGGGTGGGGGTGGCGAGGGAGGTGGAGGCTCAGGTGGTGTGGGGTGGCTGCTGGCTGGGGACCACACGGGCCTGAAGGGTGGCAACCCAGACACCAAACTGCCTCACCCTCGTGACATCCCCTCTCCTGGTGCTCTCTCATCCTTCCTGTCCCCCAGTCCCCAAGAGAGTCTATTGATTCATGCCATTGTGCCAGCTGTCTCCTGCCACTGCATAATCCAATAGCAGCAGACACCAATACACTTCCCTGAGTGTATTGGTCGGGAGAGAAGTGACGGGACACAGCCTGGCTGGTGAGGGTCCCAGAAGGGACCAAAGCAGAGGAGAGAAGGGGAATGAGAACAAAAATGGAAAGAGGCGCTGGGGACTAGAGTACAGTGGGCAGGGAACTTGTCTTGCACAGGGCCAACCCGGGTTTGATCCCTGGCATCCCTTGTGGTCCCCCGAATCCCACCAGGAGTAATTCCTGAGCACAGAGAAAGGAGAGCAAGGAGTAACCCGAGCATTGCCGGGTGTGGCCCCCAAAAAGAAATGGAGAAAGGTGCAAGAGGAAAAGGCATGTGTGCTATGTTCCTGACACCATGAACATTTTTTCTGTCCTATTATCAACCTTGAAAAATAAGTCTTGAGTATCCCATTTTACAGATGAGAAAACTCAAGCCATCAAAATAACCACCGATAAATAAGCACCCCCAGAGGCAGGAGCAATGCAGCAAGTAGGGCATTTGCCTGGCATGTCTAGGTTCCGTGTCAGGGACAGCCACTGAGCAAAAGCCATGTTGGGAATCTGACTCCTTGTTCGCCTCGAGCTCCTGGCTGGAATGAGGCTGCAGAAGGCTCAGAGGGACTTTGGGACCGGAAGCGCTGGCTGAGGAGCCGGGGCTGCCCTCTGGAGGGATGAGAGGCGCAGTTCCTGGGAGTCCAGTTCCAAGTTGTCATGGTGACTCGGTCTGTTTTCACCCCAAACACAGTAACGGGGAAAGGGGAGCCTGGCTGGACACGTGAGGCTGCTCCCCCTCCTTCGGGCCTGGGCTTGTGGCCCGGGCAGCCCCTGTCCAGTCATCTAGGCCTTGTGCCCAGGCCCAACCCACACGCTCCAGCTGACCCAGGACACTTCTGCAGGGCCGGGCCAGTGGCCACGGGGTCCCCCCAGGCTGAGTGAGCCCCTCGCCATCGGTCCCCGTCCCCCTGATTAGAAGGCCCACGCATTCTAACTCCTCCAGTTTAGAGCTCATGTTCATCGCCTCCCCCTCGCCTCCCCCATCCCCTCCCCACCGTGGTGCCTCCTTTCTGGGCTTATAGCCCTCAAGCCCCAGCATTGCTGTTTGTTTGAGTGGTTCCTCCTGGAAAGCAAGAGGGCGAGAACCTGCTGGTCTGCGGGGGGGACCATGGGAGGCTGTTCACCCCGAAGGGTGTGGGGCCCCCTGCGCCTTCCTGTTTACTCAGACACATTCCAGGTCTGGATCCTCGGTCCGTCACGCCATGGGACATCCCTCCCAACCCCCCTTGCAGGACACAGACATGGGCCAGCGCTGCAGGGGTGGGGACAGGGATGACATGAGGCCTGCGATCCCACACCCACCGCACCCCAGCTGTGGCTTCAGTGCTGGGATCTTTGACGCTGGCCCTGAGGAGCACCCCCCCACACACACTGGTCCCCCAATTCCCCATCCTGGCCAGGAATGCAGCCGCCATTCCTTTCACGCCCTCCGGGTTGTTTATTTAAAATAAAAGAAGATATGCACAGACATCAATGATTCTCCCTCCAACATTCCTCCACCATTCCTCCCCGTAACAAGCTCCACAACGTAAAAATTCTCCTTGTCCCACCTGGGGACTCAATGCCCACCTCCACACGCCCACCCCCAAAACAGAAGAATAAAAAAGAAGTGCATACTCCCCAAACTCAACTTCACTCGACACCCTTCGGGAGAGAAGCGGGGACTGGGGTTTCATGAAATGAAAGGCGCCCTGTGTTCCCAAGGGGGGATGGGAGAAGGGGGACCCCAAACCGCCCGGCAAGTGCTTACCTTCCGTACCCTGGCTTTCCTTTCCCAGCTGCCCAAGGAAAAGCAGAAACAGTCCCATGTGGTCGCCCCGCCCACCACCCCCCACGTTCTAGGTCAAGTGTGAGCACAGAGGTCAAGGGTGATCGAGGTAGAGGGCCTGGCTGGCGGCAGAGGCTGGCAAGGGGCCACTGGTGCCATTGCCTGGGGTTGCGGACGGCTGTTTCCGGAGCGAGGGGGGCACTGTGGAGGTCTTGATGTGAATCACCCGGGTGTCCATGACCTCACACTCGATCTGCATCATCTCCTCATAGTCCCCAGGGGGGCCCCTGCCCGACAGTGTCTCTGTGGGGAGGGAAGAAGGGGAAGGGTCAGGAAAGTGGAGGTGATCAGGAAGGAGTGGGCCCCGGGGAGGAGAGAGAGGAGTTGCAGGACAGGGGAGCATGAATGAGGTGCAGGGAGATGGGAGGGGAAGGACAAGATGGATGAGTGTGAGACCACAGAACAGGGGAGAGCAAGGAAACTCCGGCAGGTTCCAGCCCCCACCCCGAAGTTCCTGCACTGTCCTGCCCACACCCACTTCCTGTTCCCCCTCCCACACATCTCACCCCTCTCCCCGCCCCACACCCCCAGCAGCTCAGGTCAGACCCTCTTATGGGACTGCCCGCTTCCTCAATCCAGCGGGGAAAGAGTTACCATTGGGGGCCATGGCGGGCATCACCAGGGACATCTTGGGCCGAGAGGTCTTGTTGTGGCTGATGGCTGGGAGCAGCAAGTGGTCCTTGAAAGAGGGGCCAGGCCGGGAGGGCGGAGGAACAGTCACTCAGCCGGTCGCAGTGGAGTCTACAGCCACACCTCGCAGCCAGACTCCTGGGATACCCTCAACCCCCACCCCAGGGTGACAGAGATGGAACAGGGAGGGGGTCTTACCCTGCGGAAGGAGACGACGTAAAACGTGTCTTCCCGCCGATCTATTGCATCCAGGAACTCTGGCTGCGAGCGGTCCGGGTGGCGATACAGCTGCAGCTGACCCGCAGAATCCCTAGGCAGGCACAGAGGGAGCATTGGGGAGGATCCAGCCTGTGCCCGGCTCCCCCAGTGGATCAGGGAGGAAGAAACCACTGGAGGCAGCTCTCGGGGGTAGCTCCTCCCACCCAGAAGAACCTCAATAAACAAGCACTCCTGGGAGCTGGAGCAATAATGCAGCAGGTAGGGCATCTGCCTGGCATGGGCTGGCCCGTGTTTAATCCCCGGTCCCCAAAGCTCCGAGAGGAGTGATCCTTGAGCACAGAGCCAGGAGTTGGCCCTGAGCACAGCTGGGTATGGCCCCAACACAAAACCCAAAAACAGAAGGAATCAAGAAGCACCCCAACTCACCTTTCGGGGGGCCCGGGAGGCTGGGTGGGGACTGCCTTAACTGGAGGAGATTTCTTCCGTGGCTGAGACTTCTGGAAGGAGAAGTATCTAAGGATTTGAAGAGGGTGAAGGGAAAAGGGAGAGAGAGACGGCCCTGGAAGCTGACGCCGCCTCACACCTACCCGATCCCTCCGGCCTCCACCCCGAGAAGCCCCCGGGAGCCCAGCACGCTTAGTTCTGGTCCAAGTGGCTTCCGAGAACAGGCCTTCCCCCTACCTGTCTCTCCTGGACCCTCTGAGGAACCTTCCGTCGGCCTCTCTGGTGTCGCTGGACCCATCCGCTCAGCTCATCAGCAAGCCTGGGAGGCAGACAAGGGGTCAAAGCTCTGCGCCAGGCCAAGACGCCCACTGTCCATATGCACATCAGGAGGGAGAGGGGAGGCAAGGGCAGCGGGGCTCACGCAGGGCACTCAGCCCCGGAGGGGAGACACCTGCTGAGACCCCCACATTCTCAAGAGCAGGGGAGTCGCCTAATGAGAACCCCCCATCTGGAGAGCAGGAGAGATGCCCACTGAGACCCCCACTCTGGAGCGCGGGGAGACGACTGCTGAGACCCCCACACTGAGAGCAGGGGAGATGCCCGCTGAGACCCCCACACTGAGAGGAGGGCAGAGGCCCGCTGAGACCCCCACACTGAGAGCAGGGCAGAGGCCTGGTGAGACCCCCACACTGAGAGCAGGGCAGAGGCCTGGTGAGACCCCCACACTGAGAGGAGGGCAGAGGCCCACTGAGACCCCCACACTGAGAGCAGGGCAGAGGCCCGGTGAGACCCCCACACTGAGAGCAGGGGAGACGCTCGCTGAGACCCCCACACCGAGAGCAGGGCAGGGCCTGCTGAGGCATCCACACCTCAGGGACTCGGTCCGGTTGAAGTGCCGACAGTCTGAGGCGAGGAAGAGCTGGTCCAGGTCCCTCAGCAGCAGCTCCTCGGCGCCTCCGGGGAAGGCTGTCAGGTTTCTGGAGGGAGACACGCAAGGGCACTGAAGCAGCGGCCCGGCACTCCCTGTGAGCAGAGTCCGCGAGCACGGGAACAGCTGGGGCTGTGCTCCTGAAGAACAGGCAGGGCCAGATGGCGCAGTGGGAGGGAGCACCAGCTTTGCATGCAGGAGTCCTGGCTTTGGTCACCAGCCCTGCACAGTCCTGAGCACTGAGCTGGGCTCAGCCCGAAACACGCTGTGTGGGAGCAGGGGAGGGAAGGAAGAGGAGGAGGAGAACAAGCAGCAGCAACCAGAAGAAACAAAAGAAGTGGAAATGAAGCACCCACAGCCTGGCAGAAGAGAGCGGCCCTCTCTCCCTCTCCTCTCACCTGAAGCTGGGCCGGCCAACGGAGCTGGGTGCAGGCTCCGCGGGGCCCTGGGGGGAGCCCTGCAGGGGCTCAACTCCTCCAAGTGGCTCCTGTGCTGAAAATTCCAGCAGGTGTCGGCGGGGCCGAGGTGCCTCTCCACTCATCCGAGGAGAGATGTGAGATGAAGGGAGCTCGCTGATGCTGGAAGGACGGAGCAGGCCAGGACCCCACGTTACCAGGGGGCGGTTAAGAGCAAGGGCTCTGCAGAACCTCCCTGGCCCCATGTTCCCTTCTCTCCCCCTTTCTCTCCCCCTCCTCCTCCCTCCCTCCTTTCCTCTCCCCCTTCTCCTCCCTCTCTGTCACTCCCCTCCGTCTCTCCTTCTCTCTCCCTCCCTCCTGCCCTCTCTCTTTCTCCTCAAATATCTCTAAATTTCACTAGTAAAATTATTTTTCTCAAAGTAGACTACAGACCAAACATGATTGCCACTCAATGCCTCTTTTGCAAACCACAACAACCAAAAGGAGAGAGAACAAAAGGGAATGCCCTGCCACAGAGGCAGGGTGGATGGGGGGGAAAGGGGGATAGGAGGGATACTGGGATCCGTGGTGGTGGGAAATGGGCACTGGTGGAGGGATGGGTATTTGACCATTGTATAATTGAAACCCAAGCACAAAAAATTGTAAGTCTACAACTGTACCTCATGGTGTCTCACTAATAAAAATTTTTGTAAAATAAAAGCAAAAAAAAAATTATTTTTCTCAGATGCAGAATGATCTCGCATGCAAAATATAAAGACACTTCATGGGGCCAGAGAGACAGTCCAGTGGGCAGGGAGATCTGCACATGACTGACCCAGGTTCAATCTTCAGCACCCCCTACTCCCTGAGCACCACCAGGAGTAATTCCTGAGTGCAGAGCCAGGAGTAACCCCTGAGCATCACTGGTTGTGGCCAGAAAAAAGGAAAAAAAAAAAAAGAAACTCCACAGGCCCAAAGGAAACAGAAATGAAGAGCAGGAGAACTGGCCTTCAGTAGGAAGCTTGCCACTGGGGGACAAGGTAAAGAATGGAACACTAGGTCATAGTGAAGGGGGAAAGTGCCTGGGGACATCAGTGGAGGGAAGTGAGCACTGGAGAAGGGATGGGTGCTAGAACACTATGCCTGAAATTTAATAATGAATAACTTTGTAACTCTGTAATTCATGGTGATCCAACTTAAAAAAAGGAAAAATAAAAAATTTGTTTTTCTTTAAAAGTCATTTTTCTTCACTAAACAACAACAACAAGCTGGATCTCTTATAGTCCTGTAGCTGAGAACACGCCGAGGTCACAGGGTCATGAGAAAGAAGAATGAACATCTGAGAGGCTGGCACGCAGCGAACACTCCCCAGTCACTGTATTTATCAACGACATCAGCAGCTCGGACCCCAGAACATGCCACTTATGATGGAAACCAGGGAACAGAGGGACTCGGTGGACACCCTACTGGGGCTAAGAACCCCAGAGTTGTGTGTAGTGAGATGACAGGGACTGAGCTGTCAAAACTGGTGGTGGGGGCGCGGTAAAGGTGGGGTCTGGACAGAAGGGACTGGGGAGGCAGAAAGCGTCTCACCTGACAGGGCCAAAGTTGAAGGCAATGAAGAGAAGGAAGACCATGATGCAGACCACCTTCCTGTTTCCAGACCCTAACTTGAGCTCGCTGTTCTAAGGTGCAGAGGAAGAGCCGAGAGAGGGCGTGTCATCACAAGGCTCCTCTATTCATTCCTCTCCGCTCGCTCAGCCCCGGGCAGAGCCACCCTACCTCAGCCAGCAACACCTCCAGCCGCCGCCGGAGGGCAGCATTCTCCCGGCGGAGCTGCTGGTTGTCGGCCAGCACCACCTGCAGCCGGGCCTCCAGCCCCTGCAGATATTCCTTCTTCTTCCTTCGAGACTGGCAGGCCGACTCCCGGTTCTTGATCATTCTCTGCTGCCGCTTCAGCAGCTTGGCCTGGACGCCCAGAGGGTCAGGAGGAGGAAAAGGATGGGAGAGGGGAAGCGGGCCCTGCAGCATGCTAGGCCAGCCTGCCTGGCGCACAGCTGGGCCTCTGGCCTCTACCCTCCACTAACAGCCACCCAAGGGCCCGAGGTTCAGTTACTCCCAGCTCCTCTCCCCAGGCTGAGAGAAGCCCGGCGGTAGGAGGAACCTCCTCCAGATTGCTGGAGGAACCTCAGTTTCCTTGGTTGGTGGTCTTCCTGCATCTTAATTACTCTTTGCAGGGTCCACAGTTTAAATTTCTGTAATGAAGGAACGGCTCCCTAATTTTCCTCAAGGAAGCAGCTACCACCACAAACAACATTGTCTGATTCCTCCAGGTTTTTATTGACTGCCAGTCCCCCCATCTCTCCATCTACAGAGAAACCCTAAGAATCTAAATCTACAGAGCAGATACCTAGAGGCAGGGGTCCACTCTGTGGATTACATTTATTTCCCTGCATGTTTTTTTTCCTTTAGTTTTTGGGTCACACCAAATGGTGCTCAGGGCTTACTCCTGGCTCTGTGCTCAGAGAACACTCCTGATTGGGTCGGGGAATCATACATGGTGCCAAATATCCAACTGAAGTCTACCACGTGCAAGGCTAGTGACTTGACTTCAGTTCTCTCTCTCTTGCTCTGCATCTCACAGTCCTCTCTCGACAGACTGGTGTTTCCCCCCATCTCCCATCTCCCACACTTACATCTACTTCAGGTGGGCAGGAGTTCCCATGCACGGGGGCTGGGACAATGCTCTTCCTCTCAGGCCGGGAAGCCGGCGGGGCTGGTCCCTCAGGCTGGACCCGAATAGCACCTTGGATGAGGACAACTGGGGACACTGGGGTAAGTGGGCAGGAGGGAGAAAGCAGAGAGCTGTCAGTCAGGTGGCACCACGCCCACACGTAAGCACCCACCAGGTCGGGTGGCTCAGTAGTTGGGAACGCGCCAGTGAGCCAAACCAGTTGGTCACCTTCTCTCCTTTCTCAGTACCTGGGGGCGGCTGGACAAGAGGCTGCAGAAGGACGGTGGTGCTGGGAGGCACAGCTCGGGGCGGTACCGGGACCGTGGTTATCACCACAGGTTTGGGCTGTAGGGGCGGCTTCCGGGCAGGAAGGGCTTTGCCTGTCACAGGGGGTAAGGCAGGAAAGGAGGAATGTTGAGACCCTGCGCCCATTGCGAGAGTTTGTGGGCCTCAGGAGGCACCGTTACCTGAGGAGCCAGCAGGGGAGGGGCCCATACTGATCTGGACGGCTCCAAGAGGGGGGCCTGAGACATCCCGCAGGAGACAACCTTGAGGGGACGGGGACTCTGTCTTCACCTCCAGGATCTCTTCCCCTACAAAAGCCTATGGGGGCATCCCAGAGACACGTGAGTGAGGACGGTCGAGGAGGAATTGTCAGTGTTCAGGGAGGCCCGAGGGAGGTGAACGCTTGCCTGGCCGGGGGACTCTGCGGAGAGCAGCGAGGCCTCGGAGTGGACAGAGGAACATGGAGAGCCAGGTTCTAGCTTGGTCTGGACATCTGTGAAGTGGCAGGGGAAGACAGCAATCTTGAGAGTGAGTCGGCACTGCCGAGGAAACCAGCGGCAGGGTCATTTCCCCTTGCCCCTAGAAATGAAGCACCTCAGCATGGCACACACTGGGGCTCGGCACCCCGCCGCCCCTTCACCCAGGACTTCTTTCCCCTTCGGAAGCTGTTTCTTGCACCACTTTTGCAACTAGCCTTGCCACATGGCTCGCCACCTGTCCCTTCGTGCACGTTCCCTTCCTACTGTGTCAGCACTGAATTGCAAAGCCTCGATACGCTGGAGCCTTCCAAAAGGCTGGTCTCTCACGGCTCAATCAGCAGGTGTGAGACCAATACCATGCGGAGATTCAGTCCAAGGTCAATGGTCCACGCGGCCGCTGGCCCATACCACTCAGTGTGGTTTTGCTGTTGTTGTTGCTACTGTTTTGTGGCCACACTCGGCAATGCTCACGAGTTACTTTTGGTTCAGCATTTAGGAATCACTCCTGGCAGTGCTAAGGGGACTACATGGGGTGCCAGGGATCGAACCCAGGTTGGCCTCGTGCAAGACAAACGACCTACCCACTGTACTATCTCTCAGTCCCACCTCTCATTTCGGCACGTAATTTGTAATCACCAACACTGCACTTTTTCTGTTTGTTTTGGGGCCATACCTGGCAACCCTCAGGGGTTACTCCTAGCTCTGCATTCAGGAATCACTCCCCAGCAGTGCTCAGGAGACCATATGGGATGCCAAGGATTGAACCAAGGTCAGCTGTGTGCGGCAAATGCCTTACCCACTGTACTATCTCTAGAGCCCAACTCTCATTCTGGGATATAATTATCTGGTCACCAACACTGCTTTTTTTTTTTTTTTGCTTTTTGGATGGGCTGGAGCGATAGCACAGCAGGTAGGGTGTTTGCTTTGCACGTGGCCGACCCGGGTTTTATTCCTCCATCCCTCTCGGAGAGCCCGGCAAGCTACCAAGAGTATCCCGACCTCACAGCAGAGCCTGGCAAGCTCCCCATGGCATATTCGATATGCCAAAAACAGTAACAACTCTCACAGTGGAGACATTACTGGTACCTGCTCGAGCAAATCGATGAACAACGGGAGGACAGTATTCAGTGCTACAGTGCTTTTTGGGCCACACCCCTCAATGCTCAGGGGTTACTCCTGGCTCTGCTCTGGGGACCATATGGGATGCTGGGAATCAAACCCGGGTCAGCTGTATGCAAGGCAAACGCCCTACCCACTGTACTATTGCTCCAGCCCCCAACACTTCTTTTTCAACTTTCAAAATAATCATTTATTTCTGAATTGGTCATAGTCATATGATACAAAATCTCAAAGGAAAAAACAGGAATCTGGTAAAAAGTGCATGCCCTTCCATGTCCACCAGTCACTCAAATCACTGCACAGGCAGTGGTAACTATTTGACCTTCATACCATGCATTACAATTTTCATGAGAAGCTCCAAAAGTAAGAATTACGTCTTATGTTTCAAAGCCTTCAATGTCATGGGCAAAGGCCCTAGGAAATTTTCCCTAAGTAAAAGAACAATGCTATCTTTTGCAAACTTGTTAACAATCACCTTGGTGTCAGAGGCTTTTCGATTCTTATTCTGTTTGTCCTCTTGTAACTTTTAATAATATGCTGGATGTGAACTGCTTGTGCCTCCAAATCTCCTCTCCACTCTTCCCTGTCCTCTCTGAGGCCCAAGAGGAAAACATATTGCTTCATCAAGCACCCTTGTCCCCAAGCTTCTGGTTATAGTTCAACTATGGCGAGATGGTGCCAAAACACCCTGAAGGTGCCTAGAAATCAACAGTCCAACACTGAATCTAACCTCTCTGCAGCTGGGGATCCTGTTCTGTCTTTATCCAGTATATGGTTCCTTAATGGTCTGGAGAGATAGTACAGCGGATATGGTGCTTGCCTTGCACAGCTGACCTGAGTTTGATCCCTGGCACCATATATGGTCCCCCAAGCAACACCAGGAGTGATATATGAGCACAGAACCAGGACGAGCTCTGAGCACAGTCAGGTATGGCCCCCAAATGCCCCAAATGGTAGCATCAATCAATGGATGGCTGCCCTAGCCAGATGAAACCTTTTCTTTTCTTCTTTCTCTTTTTGGGTCACCCGGCAATGCTCAGGGGTTATCCTGGCTCTGCACTCAGGAATTACTCCTGGCGGTGCTCAGGGGACTATATGGAATGCTGGGAATTTAACCCAGGTCAATCACTTGCAAGGCAAATGCCCTATGCACTGTACTATCACTCCAGCCCCAAAGCCTTTTCTTTGATTCCTGCCCCTCTCCAGTGCCCAATGGGTTACTACAGTTCAATCATTCTACTTCATTCTTTCTGCCTTTTCCTCAATGTCCAAATGTCTTAACTGTATAAATGTCATCCTTAGTCCCCTCCTTCTACTTCTAGTCCTGTCTCACTGAAACCCCTGTCCTCCTCTGCCACCAGAGCAACCGTCCTAACCGTTACTCTTCTACTCAATTCTTCAATTATCCAATCTCTGGGTTATTCACTTGATTTACCTTACAAAAGCTACGAGGCCGCTGGCAGGGGCCCGCCTATCTCTGTCTCCCTGTATCTCCCAACCCTCTCCTCATATCCACACTGAACACACACAGGTTCCTTGCACATGCCAGTCCACATATTCTTCTGTGCTTATTTCTAAAAATCAGCTTAGAGGGATAGGGAGATGAGATTCGCCTGAGGGTGCCCCACTTCAGTGCCTGCTACTGCATAGAACCCCAAGCACTGCTGGGAGCAAGCCCCAATGACCACTCCAAAAGAAGCCCTCGAAGGTCGGAGTGATAGTACAATGGGTAGGACGTTTACTCTGCATACAGCCAACCTGGGTTTGATCCCTGGCATCCCATATGGTCTCCCAAGCTCAGCCAGGAGTAATTCCTGAGTGCAGAGCCAGGAGTAACCCCTGAGTAACGCTGGGTGTGACCCAAAAAGCAAAAAAAATAATAAAATAAAATAAAACAAGCCCCTGAGTACCACCAGCATATCCTAAACAACAGCAAAACTCATCTCAAGAAGGGATAGAGAGATAATACAGCAGGGAGGGCATTTGCCTTGCACATGGCTGACCTGGGTTTGACCCCTTATGGTTCCCCAAGTTTGTCAGGTGTGACTCCTGAGTGCAGAGCCAGGAACAACCCCTAAGTACCATTGGATATAGCCCCCCAAAATATTTTTTTAAATAATTTTAGGGGTTGGAGTGATAGTACAGTGGGTAAGGAGCTTGCCTTGCATGTGGTCAACCCCTGGTTCGATCCTTGGCACCCCAAAGAGTCCCCCAAACACCGTTACCCAACACACCAGGAGTGATCTGAGTGCACAGCCAGGAGTAAGCCCTGTGCACTACCAGGTATGACCAAAAATGAGACAAAAAGGTTTTACAGTGAAACACTGAAGAAATAAAAGTAGTAACAAATCCTTACAAAACTATCAGTACATTTCTTTGAATGCAAAGCAACAAGAAGTTACATAATGGATACTAGAAATAAAAACCCTGACTCAGGGCTGGAGACCTAGTGCAGCAGGTAGGGCATGTGCCTTTTACATCACTGACCCAGGTTTGATCCCTGGGATCACATATGGTTCCCTGTGCACTGCCAGGAGTAAATGCCTGGTAACCACTGATGGTCAGCTGGTGTGACCCCAAAACCAACAAAACTCCCCATTTCTCCAGTGCTACTGTGGTTTCCTCCCTGGATTTTCTCCTAGTTATCCAGTCATCTCCCTTCAGTATCTTTTTCTTCCAGTCCAGCTGCCTGTGCCCCTACCCTCCTGTGATAAGCCTGGAGGTGGTAATAAGCCATTATTACCTGGTGGATCATCGCAGGTGGGGCCCACATTGATCTGGACGGTTTCAAATGGGGATCCTGGATAATCTCCCAGGAGGCAGAGTGGGGGTGCCAAGGACTCTGTCTTCACAACCAGCATGTCCCCTACACCAGAGGCCTGGGTGAGAGTGGGAGTGAAGAGAGGTTGGAAAAAGAAAAGACCCGGTCCTGTTCCTGCCTGGCACTACCTGGTCCTCTGAGCACTGCTGATGTGGCCCTTGCCTACCACTGGATCTGAGCATCAAACCTCTAGGCCTGTACAAGCCAGAAATTATAGGGAGCTTCCCTGGAGGCCTCTGAGCATTACCTAGGAACTCCCCCCAAACCCCACCAACCCCACCAAAAAAAAAAAAAAGAAGAAGAAGAAATAGGCGCTGGAGCAATAGGACAGCTGGGAGGGCATTTGCCTTGCACACCACTGACCCGGGTTTGATTCCCCTGCATCCCATATGGTCCCCTGAGCACTGCCACAAGCACTGCCACTGAGTGTTGAGTGTAGAGCCAGGAGGAACCCATGAGAATCACCGGGTGTGACCCAAAAAGCAAAAGACAAATAAATCTTAAAAAAAGAAAGAAAGAAAGAAAGAAAGAAAGGAAGAAAGAAAAGCATACGTGGGGGAAACAGTAATATGGTTAGGGGACTTTCAGTGCACACTGTTGACCCAGGTTTAACCCCCTGCATCCATATGGTCCCAGAGCCCACCAGGAGTGATTCCTGAATGCAAAACCAGGAATAAGTCCCAAGTACCACCAGGTGTGTCCCCCAAAGAAAATAAATAAATAAAAAGATTCCATCTTCACTTTTAGAGAGCCAGAGTGCAGTTGTTGCAAATAAGGAATTAAAGGGAAAAGGCAGGAGAGAAGCCCCAACACATGAGTCACAGTACATGTCATTTCCTCAACACGTGGGGGAAGGGAACAGAGCCAAGTCTGCTACAGGGAGGACATGGAGGGAGATGATGGACACTCTCACCTGGCTGGAGGGCTCCGTAGAAAGCTGGGATGATTCGGAGCTGAGTGAGGAGGAGGAGCAGGGGGATGATGGCTCAGACTTCACCTGCAGATCTGGAGGGAAAGTGGCTACAAAATAACCAGGAAGCAGGGCATGACAGAGTCCAAGAAGGCTCCAAGGACATGCGTCTCTCCCATCTCCCACCACCACCACCACCATGGCAAGGGGGAGGAAAATAGGAAGAGGTTGAAGGGAGGAATACAGGAACTCATGGAGGTGAGGTGTGAGGATGCCAGAAACTGTGTCGTTTCTGGGAAACATCGGGAAGATGGGGCAATCTGGAAGGATGACAGAATTGGAGCATCTTACCTTGGAAGAGAGGTAGGGTGTCCCATGGGGGCTCAGGGGGGCTGACGTCCATCCCCAGGTCCAGAGAACTGCTGCCAAACTGAGTAAGGGATGAGATGGGACAGCAAAAATGAGAAGGCACGGGGCGGGGGGCGAGGGTGGGGGTGCTGCAGGGGAGGTCTGGTCAGGGGGTGAGCCCCGGAGTTGGGATCAGTCCCACCCATCAAAAGTAAGCGGGGGCGGGGAATACCGGGACATCCTGCTCCGGGCAACGGAAGAGCTGCGTGGGCTCCTCGGCCACTTCATCCAGGCCCGTGTACAAGGTGCAATCTGCAAGAGATGCGAGGTGTCAGGGGGTGCTGGTTTGGTGGTCCAGCCTCCAGACCCACACACAGCCCTCGTCCCACACCTCATTGGCTCGGCTCGGCCAGACCCACCGCCCGCCCACTTGAAAAGTGATACCTAAACCCAAAGAACTTCAGCCCCTCGGCCCGACCCCAGCACTGCACGAGGCGTGCGCTGGGCGCGGGGGCGAGGGTCCTCCCCAACTCCGGCATCTCCCTCAATGCACCAGAGCCCCCTGCTCCGCCCTCCCCCAGACGGGTGAATTCCGTATTTGCCCAGCTCGCCACTCGGGGCCTCCGCTTCCTTCCGGCGAGCCTCGGGGACACAAGCATGCCACAGCCCACCCGGCGCCCCCGGCCTCACTCCGCACACCCCAGTCCTCCGGGCTCAGCAGGTTATCGGTGAAAAAACGCGTCGGGTCCGCAATCTCGCTGAGGAGCATCAGTTCCGCCATCTTTGCCCCCCGCCCCCCGACCATGAGACGCTTCCCAAGGCCCGCCTCTCCCCGTCAACTTCTCAGTTGACTCCTGGAGAAAAAAAAAAAAGGCGGGGAGGTCGCGGAAGCTCCGTGGACCAGTCAGAGACCGGGGAGCACAGCGCAGGACCCAATCGGAGACGCGCTGCCAAGGCCCTGCCAATGGGAGCGGGGCAGGAGCGCGCACCGCCCCCTGGGGGGCGGGTGTAAGCGCCGCGCGTGCGCAAGATAGGCCTCTGCGCTCCCTGGGAATTGTAGTTCCCAAGATTTTTAAACACCTTCCCACCCACCCCAACCTGCGCTAGATTTCGAAGTTTGGGCTACATCTAGATTAACTGCCCTAGCTAGATACGCCCTTCAAAACGTTTCGCGTGTGCCCACGGAGCATTTCCATGGTGAAAAAAGGGAAAGAGGCACACAGAGGCCACTGCTCTCCCCACTCCCCCTCACCAGGAAGGCACAAACTAGGAATGAAATGAAAGCTTTTGCCTGAAACCCTCGGGGCTCCCCAAAAATTTCACAGCAGAGACAAGTCAGAGATTCGCGCCTCTCTGAAGGCTTCATTTTTAATCAGTCAAACATCTTGCGCAGACCCTGAGCCAGTTCTGCATCCTGGTTCTTGCTCTTAATGATAACCTTTTTCAGTTCCTCCTGGGCTGCCCGGTTTTTGGGGTCCAATATCAGCACCTTCTTGAGGTCAGCAGTTGCTTTGTCCAGGTTGCCAAGAGCAGCCTGAGCAACCCCCCTTCTGTACAAGGCTTTTAAGTGGCCAGGCTCCCGCTCCAGGGCCCGGTCACAGCTCTGGACTGCCAAATCGGGCAACCCTAGCAGCAACTGACAGGCAGCCAGGTTGGCATGAAGGATGGTTCGTTCGGAAGGGCCAGGTGGGGGTAAAGTCAGCAGCAGCCTCAGGGCTCGCCCATAGCAGCGGGCTGCCCCTTCAGGGTTCCCAGCTCGAAACAATTCTGTGCCCCTTGCACGCTCGCTCTCGGCCAGAGTCTCCTTTTCGCTGGCCTCCATCTCCCAGGAGTCCCGTCCCTGAGTGAAGGAGGCCAGCGTGAGTCTGACCGGAGGGCCAGAGTCCCCAGTGATCTGCAGCTCCGCCTCCTCGCCTTGACACATGGACTCCAGGCATTTCTCAGTGAGCTCCCCCCACGTTCCTTCCCTCCACGGCCCTATCCCCACGGTTAGCTCTGACCAGCCCTCTGGCATTCCTGACCCCGGTGGAAACCCCACAGCCAGTACCCAGCAGTGGGAGCCCAGCTTGGGTTTGTCCAAGCCTTGGCCAGGGGTTATGATCCTCTTAACAAAGCTCCCATCCGGGCAGTGCCACAGAGCAGAGATTTGAAGGGGCTCTGCTACATCACTGGCGGGTCCGTGGGACTGATCAGCGTTTCCCTCAGTCAGTTTCTCAGTCCCTTGCAGAGTCTCTAGAATTTGGTTGGTTGGATCTGGACGCGTTCTTGGCTCAAGGACTTCAGTAGGTGGTTCCGAGGGCTGCTGCCTACTCTGAGGAGAATCCAGAACGTTCATTTCCCATGGTTGTTGCGGTTGGGAGCTGTTTTTGTCTCCGGTTGGAATGACTGGAGGTGTCTCCATTGGGCAGGCTGGTCCCAGCTGTTTACTACCCGTGAGTAGTAAACAGCTTTGGTCGAAAAGGGATGGCCCAGGTTCAGGTCAGCACCTGGAAAAAAATGCTAATAACAGGGTGCATATTTAGACTCCTTTCTTTTCTTTTGGGAAAAGAAGTCCTCAAAGTCTCCTTTTTTATTATTTTTTTTCCTTCCAAATCCCTGTCCGGCAGGAGCCTCGGTTCGCCCCAGCACAAATCCAGAACTACAAATTCCAAAATCCCCTGCGATTTGGGTAGCCGCCTCGACTACGGACACTTGGTCGGGTCAAAAGTACCTAGGCGGCCGTAGCACTTAGTTTGAGGAACCGGAGGCGGGCCGTTCTAATCACCATCGCTTCCGAGAACTACATGCTTACTGAGTACTGTCCCCGAGGCTTTCCCCGGGCGGACAGAACAACGAAGGATCCAGGGACTGCCGGCGTAGGACAACAATGTCATCCAACCCTGCCGGCTAACCGCGAGCCATCTAGGCTAGTGAACTTCCTGGCAGCCAATCAACAAGAGGGAGATGTAGGTTAAGCCCGCCCCTGCGACCTGACGTCACTTCCCCCGCACGACTGCTGCGCTCCAGGCCTTAGCAACCGAACTAGACCTGATCGAGCTGATCGTGGCGCAATCGGGCTGACCAGGTTACTGGAAACCAAAGCCTGGGAGGAACTGGAATGGGAGGATGGGGCGAAAGAGGATGGAGCGGAGGAATGGTTTCTCTCCCACTGGTGAATGACAGACACTTTTACCTGGCGGCCTCAGCTCATCTGTTCTGGCTTGTTCGAGGCTCCAGGCCAGTCTAATCTGAAGCCTGGAGGTTTGCCAAGATCAGTATTTAGGCTTCTCCGCCCCTCCCCCACATGCCCCCCCCCCCCATCCTCCCCGCACCAAATCGGCTCTGCTTCTTTGGAAAACCATCTTCTTACCTTTCCCTTCATATTCTCCATCGCCGTTCATGCTCTTCTTCATCTTGAAAGCTTTTCTTAAGAGCTTAAGATGGGGGGGGAGGGGGATTAAAAAAAAAGATTTGGGGGAAATATTCGTGGTCTTTCGATTCTCAATGTGTATCTATGTCACCAAAGAAACTTGTTAAATTGCAGGTTCTGATTTAGGTAGTCTGGGAAGGGACTTGTAATTTAGCATTTTTAACAAGCTTTTGCTTGCTGGTCGGTGGATCACACTTTGAATTAACCCTCTTCCGGTTATCTTCACCCTAGGCAGTGCTCCTCTTCGGTCTCTTCCCTGTTTTGCATATAGAACTGGTAGAACCTGCCCCACTAGGTCTTTCAGTGTTCTTCCATAGGGGCAGAATATATAATTATGGGTGAAGATGCAGGTTCCTTTTGTGACTCATCCTTGCTTGTCCAGTACCCTGTACCTGCTGGGTAATTACAGCTTTTCAAGGAAGGAGACCGCCACTGAGCCCTTCACTGGACTCTCTTTAAATTTGCTTTCCAAAAGCCTGCCCTTGTGTGCCAGGCTACAAGGAAAAAGCTAGGACAACCAAGACTGGAAGGAGTTTCATGTCACAGATGTGTCAGAGTAATACTTTCCTTAACTGAAAACAAGAGATCCACCTTTCAGCAACCATTGTAAAATTGTGCTCAGAGTGCTGGGATGGAAAGGGGGAACTAGGAACCCTGATGAAGGGACAAAGACACTGGTCCTAGGATTGGTGCTGGAACATAATTCGTCTGAAAAATGTGAATAACTTTGTAAATCATACTTTGTACTTTTTTTTTTAAAAAAAAAAATAACTCCTTATTTTATATTGAGCCACAGGCCTTTTTCCTCAGGTTTTTTTGTTTGTTTTTGTTTTTTTTTTTAATGGTTCTTCCCCATGAGGCCTTAACAGAATTAAGAACCACTTTTAGGCTCACTACCGAGCCCCTAAAACCTATAATTAAATACTGAGATTCCTAGAATCTCAATCTTCTATTGGAAATTAATCCACCTCTACTTCTCTTCTCTTCTCTTCCCATATTAGGGACTTCTAAGAAAGGAAAGAATCCTAGAATAAATGACAAAAGGTTGAATTGAATAGCCTCTGTTATTTGTTGCCTGTAACTGAGTGGGCTGCCACGAATGAACCTCCAAATATCAACTCTCTTTAGAGGAAGCTATCCTCCGCTGCAAGTGCATTACTTTGTTTTTTTCCCTTCATGTTTTGTGTCTGTAGACTTCTGTTCCAGCAAACACAACAGAAGTTCGTCTCTTTTGTGTTTTATCTCCTCATTCAGCAAATACTTATTGAGTATTTGAGTTGCTCTGTTCCAGGCAACATGCTGGAGTCTAGGACAGGTAAATGAATGAGACAGTTAAGGTCCCTGAGCTCTTGGAACTTGTAATTAACTGGCAAGGGAGAATACCTTGTTACAGTGGTATGAAGAAAGTGTTGGATGCCAAGAGAGTGAAAGATGAGGAAATAGAGGTTGAAATACTTCTGAAGCTCTTAGAACTGAATTTTGGAGTTACAATACAATGGGTAGGGTGCTTCTTCCCTTGAGTGCAGCTGACCTGGGTTTGATCCCCAGCATCCCATATGGTCCCCCAAGACTGAAAGGAGTGATTCCTGAGTGCAGAGCCAGACATAAGCCCCGAGCATTGCTAGGTGTGGCTCGAAAACAGACTAGCAAACAAAAATAGCAGGTGATTCTCTGAAAGATAGTATAAATTTGGTCATGGAATTGGGCAAGATTTGAGATGCCTTCTGGACTCCACACCAGTGGACCACGAACTACCTGGTGGTCTAGCAAGGAACACCAGGCATCCTCATTCAGTAGAGTGACCCTTCCCTCTGTCTAGATAGTAATAAAGGAAAATCCAGGGCTCCACTGCTGTTTCATGAACTTTTTTTTTTCTTTTTTTTTTATGAACTTTTATAATATAGCCTCACCCTTCCTTTTTGTTGATAATTGAATTGTATCTTTTTATTGTTGCATTGTATACTTATCCCAATTAAATCCTGTTGTGATTATATGCAATTGGATTAAATCAGAAAGTCAAAGGAACGAGGACTGAAGAGATAGTACAGTGGGTAGGGCACTTGCCTTGCCCACAGCCAACCTGGGTTCCACCCTCAAGATAAAGAGTAATTCCTGAACTCAGAGCCAGGAGTAACCTCAGCCTCTCCAACAGTGGCCCAAAAAAGAAAATACAAAGTAAAAAATACTTTCAGGTAATATGGTTACAATAGTGACAACTTTTATGGTTTTGATGTATAAGTTACTGTCCAAAACTCTCCATCACTACCCTTATGTCAGTTCTAGTTTACCTCTTTCTCCAACCCACACACCCTTGGTGATCTCAGTGAGTCAATCAAAGGCTAAAGATTTGTCATTTGTCATTATTTGATATTGTCTATCTGATATTCCCTTGTTTTGTTTCTCTATATAAGTGAGTGAGATAATCTGATTTATTTCACTTAACATGATTCCCTCTGAGTTGCAGCAAACTCTCAGAGTTCTTTTCTGATAGCTGCATAATACAAAGCTGCACTTTTCTGATTTCATTGTGTGTGTGCGCGTGTGTGTGAGAGAGAGAGAGAGAGAGAGAGATTTAAGAGAGATTTATTCATCTGTCCTTGGGCATTTGGGTTATTTCCATATCCTAGCTATTGTACCTAGTGCTACATGCGTATGTTTAGAAGCTTTTCTGGCTAACAGTAGAAGTTAGCTCTCTTGAGATCTGAACCTCATCTTTATGCACACACTGCTTGCTAACTTCCATTTCCTTGTCTTTTGAGTTTCATTATGCCAGGCTCAGCTCTTTAGGGATAAACATCGAGGAATTGAGAAGGAAGGATGGAAACAAGCCAAAATTGTTGGATGTTAACCCTAAGTGTTTTGGGCTGGAGTGATAGCACAGTGGGTAGGACGTTTGCCTTGCACGCAACCGATCCAGGTTCGATTCCCAGAATCCCATATGGTCCCCTGAGCACCGCCAGGAGTGATTCCTGAGTGCAGAGGCAAGAGTAACCACTGTGTATTGCCGGTGAGACTCAAAAAAAAAAAAAAAGCACCTTTACATGTTTTAGACTTCATCAGTGAATTGCCCCTTTTCCTCCTCCCAGAGAAGCTTACCGTGCTCTTACTAGCATTCTTAATTTAGTAAAAGTTTGTCTTTAACCTTCCCTTTGTGTTTTACTTCTCATTGTCTCAGTTCCCCAAGTCAGTCTTGATTACTTATAAGCCAAACTTTCTGGTAATTCTGGATTTTGTATTTGTAGTGCTTTGTATTTGAAGTGCTGTGTATTTTTACCTGCTTTTCTATTTCCCCTATAGCCTTTTTATATTTTACTATAGAGCAGTATTCTTCAGTTAAACACAGAAAGACCGTTAATGCTATACCCCTAATATTTGGGAGTTGATTGACTCTGAAATATATCTACTCCTGGGCACTAGTCATAATTACTTGACTCAGGCTTGGGTTGCCGTAGTTCATAACATCCCAAAAAAGGAGGTCCCGCTGTGGGACTGGAATAGACCTGGGGTGAGTGGCTACCCCGGCATCAAAATGGGACAGTCTAGAAAGCATAAATGCATGTTCTTGATACAGACTGTTATAACTTAAGAAACAGGACCCCTCATGGGGAAGGACAAGCTGAACTGGCCTGAGGAGACTTAGTCTGGGATTTATGGTAAAAGTCTTGCTTGTTCTCAGAGCCCAGAGAACTAAGTTTTGGGATCTTTATCTTTTACTGTGTTTATCCAACCACTGCAGGAATTGATAAGAAGTAAACTTAATTGTTTAACGTATGCAACTAGAATGAAAGACAGAAGCAATGTAGATGTTTCTGTGAAACAGTGTCTCCTCGAGTTTTGCTTCTGCCAAATGTTTTGTGTTAATCTCAAGAGAATTGCCTCTGCCAAATGTTGTATCTCTGTAAATGATCAATCACACCTGTGTCTTATATCTCAACCCCCACCAGATGTCCTTTAAATATACTAGCAACTCTGCATTAAATGGGCCATTTTCACCATCAGGCTGTGGTCGCTCATCTCTCTGTCTCTCTGCTGGGGAGGCCTGCGGAGAACGGGAGGCCGCTCTCGGCCACCAAATGCATGCTCGTGCAGCACACACATATTTTTTTGAACTCACAAAAATGATCCTGTTCTTAGGTCTAGCTAGAGAAGACATGCAAAAAAGATGACATATGTGAAAAAATACTTATCTCTTGGGATAGAGGCTTGGACTAGGTTATGAAGATGGAATCATGTTTTCACATTTCTTGATCTCTAACGTTTGAGAATGAAGTGCAAGAGCAGCCTTGCGGGGCACAAATGGTAAAGGTCTCCTTAGACTGGAGTGCTAGCATTAAATGCTGGAGGCCCAGTTACCATCTCCATCCCCTCCAGCAATGCATGACCTTTTGAGGCCCTCTGGTTGGGGAACCCCTCAGAATAAGCTGGGAGTAGCTCAACTTACTGCAGAGGTCCAAATGCATAAAGAAAGTAAATCAAAGTAGAGATTTAATTGGCTTTATT